TTTACTTTTCAAGAGAGAAAAAAAAGTACATTTTTTCCATGTTCGAAATTTCTTCATTATTTCCAACATAATTGCAGGGAAAAGATCGTACGTTCTTATTTTAATGAAACTCGTACATGAACTGCCGTCGATTGACACGTGACGTTAATGAATGTCGCTGCTTTTGGCCCATTGCTTGCATGTACAGTCGGCTATTGTTTATCTTTGTCTGTGATGCGTGCTCTTTAAGCTGGAGTTCAACTAAGTGGATATAGAATGGAGTATGGCGTATCCACATGGATGTAAAATGCTTTTAACAAGCCGATTCTATCGCTTTCGGTATCCTATCGATTTTTTACTTTACATTTTTTGTGCTATATTGTCTGGGTCCTTTGATTTCTTCAAAAAAAAAAAAAACATCAATGTCAAACACACAATTAATTGCCATTTTCCGTTGTGCACGGATTTTGCCGTACCGAAAAAAACGTTTGCACATGGTGCTATTTCGTGCAGTACCCGCTTTCGCATATATATATATATTTTTTTCATTTCATTTTATTCGCAAAATTCGATTCCATATATTTTAAGTTGAAAATATTTGTACAGGAAATTCATTGGTTAAAGTAGTGAATTTAAATTTCAACTTTTGAAGTCTCTCTCGCTCTCGCTCTTTTTTGCGATGTTGTAGTTCTGTTGGTTTTTTCAGTTGTCTGCTACGAATAATTTACAACTGTTTTAGTCGTTTTAATCGTGTACCGAATGAAAATGTCACGCACATACTGTACCTAGCTTATTTCGAGACGGTTGAATTGAGCAAGTTACTATCGCGTTACATTTGGATAGTAACAGAACAATAAGAATGAGTATTGAGCACCCCAAATTGTTCGAATGTTCTATAGTTCTGTTTTTATAAACGGTTATGAAAACAGTAAATCTGGTTTAGTGCTAGTCTATGGCCTTTTTTTCGAGTGTGCCATGTGCTATAAAATTTGAATAATTGTCAAAAATGCGAGCAGTTGATCATCTGTCGTTCTATGCTTCGCCCAAACAGTTTGAATTTCAGTTTTTTTTGGCAAACACATATGCCAAACTCGATTGGGAAAAAACCACGACGAATAAAGAGTTGGTTCGAATGTGAAGAGAAAAAAAACACGAATTCACGGCAAATATTTGTATGGATCAGTGCGAAGTGAAATCCGTTAAAAAAGCATAAATTTACATTTATGTAAAATGCTGCACGCAAAGGTCTTAAATAAAATGTGTGTACAAGTTACAAAGTAGCACATGCTATTTGCTGTCATTTTCTTCGATATATAGTAGATGAATTTCAACTTGCGAAAAACACACGCGCAAATACAAATAAAAAAATAACAGCAAACACACATGTAAACAATTTCATGTGGAAACGCTTCGCCGACTGAATTGTGTTTGTTTTTCATGTATTTACATTCATTCAATTGAAAAAGAAGAAGAAAAAAAACCCGACGAAAACACAAAGAATAAGGTGAGTGAGCAAGCGTTTGATGACTCATATTTATGAGCAAAGATTTGGGCACGCCAGAATGATTTCGACTAAAAAAAAAACTACGGAAAAAAGAGTAAAAGTGCTTCAATGTGATTATGATTTATTCGAGCTAAAATTGTAAACACTCGTTTCAAGTGTACGTTTTTGATCAGCGGATGCGCTCCCGATACGCGGATGTTTTGTTTAAATTCAGCCATCATAACATTGATCTGTGGCTTAGCTTAACGATGCCAACAAGGGAATACAAAGCAATGAACATGATTTGAAATGCAATCGGTAAAAAAACCGATTCTATATATTTGACCGAATTCTCTATATTTTACGGCTTTTGCCACATGTGCCAACCGAAGAAAATCTAACTATTTTTATTTATACACATATACAATTTAAACGAAAACATAAAAAAAATTATAATTGCTGAATGAGAGCATCGTGCGACGGTAAATATGGGAAAAAATAAAAATAGAGACATACACGTTTTGTAAACAGCGGCATATAATTAATTTAATGATTCGACAGCATTTTCATGCAATTCGTATCGTGTGCGTCAGTGTTAATTACAATCTTATCGAAATACGCTTCTTTTGTTTTATTCAGTGCTTCGATTTCATGCGCATTGAATGCGACACTATTTAACTCATGGCGACACAACAAAATACATGGTTCAGTGACATGTTTGATGTTTATCCTATGAAAAAAAAAATGCTTCCTTCATTGATATTATGCGGAGATTATTTTTATCAATGCTTTTAAATGGAATCATCGCAAAAATATCAATTCAAAGATTCAATTGTCTCATGACTATGGCATTTTGTTTGACTTGTATATATTTCTGTTATTTTGTTCTTATTTTCAATTTATCAAAAGTTAAACAAGTATTCTTTGTATTAAAATGTACGAAGGGTCAACAATTTTTATTGCGCATTTCTTGGGAAAAAATCATACTATGTTTCAACTAGAATGTATTTGTACTTGAATTCATGAACGAAACTTGTTTGAGAAACAAGAAAATGTGTCTGAGAGGTTTGTGAACAAAAATAGACGAATAAAAATCCATGCGCGTTAAATGAACAAATTTCCGAAAATGTTTTCTGGATCATAAAGATTTTTTCCATGAATTTCGATCGTATTCCATTGAAACATTCAAGAGCCAGCTTTCTTTCACACATCAAGTGTTTGCTGGAAAATGTCAACATAACTATGGCTCACTAACCAAGTGCCAACGATTTCAAAAGATGAATTGTTTGCTTTAATACATGAAATGCATTTGTACTCTTGTTTTGAACACTTTTTGCTTGGCATCATTCACTGTAACTGTGACATCGTCTCAATAGCTATCGTAATGAAGCTATTCACCACTTCATAATATACTTTGTTACTTGATTTTCTCTCTTACAAACAACAGAGCTCAAACAACAGAGATTTGTTTACATGTTTCTTTTTGTGCGTCGAAAAAAAATAATTCTATTGCATTGATAAGGAAAACGAAGTCAACATTATTCCGATAAATTCTTATCTAAATATGGTCAAGTATTTTCTTTAACATTTTTGTTTCTATAGAATGTCATCATTTAGTATTAACAGATAAAAAAATGGTCGTTCGATGGATCATTTGTTTGGCTGTCACCAGTTCGTAAAATACATGTGAAACACAAAAATCAACGCAATGGTATTAGTATCAGTGTTAATATTTTTGTGTCATGAAAGAATTTATATTTTTTTTTCTCGTCTTTGTCATTATGCTTTCTTCGTTCATAGAAATGCCAATGAATTTGCGTGACTTGCACTTCAATCAATGCCTTCCTTTCAAACAATCATCAATCAGACACAAAAATAAAAACGAGACCTTTTAAAAAAAAATAAAAAAAAATATATAAAACTGAATGCTTTATATGCAAGACATTTTTCCACAGAGAATGAATTAAATAATAGGATTTTTGTCTCCGAATACAAAAGGCGTCGAACAGATTATCTATAAAATGTGTTATGTTTTGTTTCGAACAAACTTCTAATCAGTCGATTAAATGTGGTATTTTCATGGGAATGGTGGTTGTAAATGTCCAAGCAGCTTTTTTGAAAATTCGATATATAAATAATCACATCATAATAAAAACAATGTTTGTACATCCAAATGATCTCACATATTGCGATTTATTTTACACTTTCAATTGTGAATAATTTGATTGAAATGAAAGAATAGCTGAATGAATTCAATTGAATTACATTAAAAAAAAACGAATAAATTTGAATTGTTAGTGGCACGACTCGTGCTATCCAATTATTCTCACTTAAAAAGTGTTTTATTTACGCTAGTTCTGATCAAATTGCCATGAAGCACAGTTTTCAAACGGTTTTGTTGTTCGCTTACAGTTTTTGTGATTCGCATCAGTCAGAGTAACGATCATTACAAAATCCATTGAGATAAGAATGAAAGCAACCAGCCCAACCATATGTAAATGAAAAGTGCCTGAGGCATGCCTAGAATGTTAAACGATTGCATTATATCGATTCATTTAAAAGCGTCAAACCAGCAAACAATTAGATTCCCAGTTTGATTTGTGCTACAAAATCAATTAGACGTCGGACCATCGCACATTACCGAATGTGCTATTTTTGTTGTAATGAAACCTAAATTATTTTAACATCGGAATTGAGTCAATGTTACGAGTAAACACATGCCACATACGCATATGTTTTAACTATGGGAAAAATGCCAGGGAATATACTTCACATTGAAATGTGATTCCATTTGCGGTTTGCTTTTTTTAAAGCATGTGATAGCCTGCCACATTTTACAGTTATTAGAATATATCGTAATGCGCTTAATTGGAATTTATCATCGCATTTGGTTGCATTTCACGAATGGAATTGAGCGATAGATATTCGGTAATTATAATTATCCTATTTATCCAACTAAAATGCCAATGCGATAAAAAGGAGCGCTGCTTATCGCTTGGCATTTAATACTATCAACGAAAAGTAAAAGTACAGCATTAGACATCTATTTTTAATGCTATTGGAAGTATATTCTATGGTATCGATTGAATGTCGCTAGATTAAACAAATTAGTTTCGAAAATCTTTCTCAATAAAAATCGATCGAAAAGGTGACATTACCATTGTCTATAAAATATTTGTCAAACACGAAATCAAATATAATAAATGTGGCGTAATATCGATCACACCAATACCAATATTTGAAGGTTTCGATTATTTCGTTCCAAACAAGTGTTTATAAAAACCTTGTTTTGCAAATAAAGTAAAAATTCTTTGATTTTATTTACCGAAATGTTTTTGCTGATGCATCAACTACATGAAAACCTGGTATAATAAAGCAAATGTTTTCTTCCAGTATAAACACATTTCATAACGAACAATCATCAATTTATTATCGATTGTTGTTCAGAAAGTGCGAAATGTAAATCATTATAATTTCTTCATGCTTATGCATGCTTATTTTTGGAAAACGTTTTGTTTTGTCTGAATGCGCGCATTATTTAATGGCCGTGATTTTTATATAAGAAGCTGAAAATTCACAAGTATCTACTCAGTTTGTGCTCGAAAGACAATTGTTAAAGAAGATCCCGCTTCTAAGGAGTGAATCGATAAAACGAATATATATCATCAAAATTTCAAGTTTTGTTCTGAAAAGAAAACAGCCCGGTAAGTTTGTATGTGAGGTGACTTCGATCAGAGTAATAATTTTGGTTAAAAAAAATAAGGATCAGCACGGAATTTGTTATTTATTTATTAATCTTGTATTTTTTTTATTTATTTTTTATATTCTAGAAAATGCACAGAATGGTGTTCAATTGTGGTCGTTGCACCCAACTGTACTATGATAATTGTACTAAATATGACCAGAAAAAATGCCCCAATTGCTACGCATCCAATTCTCCCACAAGACCGGTACATACAATCTCAAACCAATTTAATTTAAATATGAATTTTATTTATTATTACTATTTTCTACATTTCAGAGCACTCCTCAGGCACCTAGAAACACTTCAAACAAGAAAAAGTGACTGCGGCCAGTGGTGATGCCATTTTTTGTGGACAGACTCGAATTTAAAAAAAAAAAATATTATTTCTCGTATGCTAAGATCAAAATGCTATTTTAGTTATGATCATCATTGTATTTCTTACGAGCTTCCAAATAAATATTTGATCAACATTTAAAAAAAAAGTGATTATTCATTGAAAATACATACGGTTTTCAGCATTGATTTTTACGTGAAAAAAGCGGATTTTTACGTGAAAAAAGACCACATTGCAAATCTAATAGTGCTTGTCTTTCCATATTTCATAATTGTTTCTTATATTTTTTTTCAATTTCATGATAATACGTTAAAAAAAATTCTTCTTGAGCCGAATCCAATATTTATTATTTGTCGAAATGGTAAAAAGCGACATTATTTATAAACATCTTATCGATATTTTGTAACACTGAAAATGGATTGTTGAAAAAAACCTGAAAAGATTGTCTTTATCTTATTGTACTTTGCTTATATTCTCAAATTACACAAAATTAACTATATAAGTATAATGCATCAGCAAGAGCTATTCAATTCCTTTTTTTATTCAGCAAGGAGTAACTTAAATGAAACATATATCAGGACTGACGCATTTTAATAAAAATTTCAATTTATCAAATTCGATCATTACGCTAAGAGCACATCTTTTGTATCAGTTCATCTGATCAATTTTTTAAAGGTTTACTTTTTATGTTCAGATCTGGTGAAATATGTTCTAAAAAAATTTCGTTAAATTTTTTATTTCCCACAGATTTTAATTCAATTCAACAGAAATGAACACATTTATTTTGTGTGCAAGGTATCGCTGTTTTAATTGTGGCCACATTTATTACCTGTACAATGCTGGACCTGACATGCTGCTGATATGCGAAAGGTGCACCCATATGAACTACCCCGAAAGGTAAAAACCTTGAACTTAACTTTGATATTGAGTAGATATCATTTTTAGAAAAATATATTTACAGATCATGGCTGTCATAGAGACTGAAGTTAATCAAAAATGTCATCGAAACTCGGTGGCTTTTCTGTCATTTTTATATTTTAATAATACCAAATGGATACTTTCATTATGTTCTGAATAAAACTTTCGTTAATATAATGAATGCAAAATAAACATTCTTTCGTTTTTTGCATGTTTTCAGTCTGTTTCTTTACTCTTTATCAGCATTTTAATATGTAAATGATGGCGTTGCATTTTCAAAACATAAGTCCAATTGACTTCAGTTTAGTTTGTCACATCAGTTGAATTCAATTCATCAATCGAATCGGAACATATACTTACTAGCATTTTTTAAGTTTCAGCGATATAACCATACATAATTTTACAGCGATGGAACGACGTGAGGTCAAAATTCCAGGTAAAAAAAATCAAGTCAAGACAATTTTCATTTGCATTGATTGGTGTTAATTTACAAATTGGCAGAGGAAAAGATACGGCTGCTTTGCGAATTGCACGGCGAATATGAAAGACATCATGAACGCATTGTGAAAAGTATTCAAGAAGATTTGCGGCAACAAGAGCATGAGATAAAACGACAATTGGTTGCAGAAAAACGGAAAAAACGCAAAAATAAAAGCTGATTCTCACCACAAATTCATGTGAAAATATCGAAAAATGTAGTGAAATAAAGTTTATACATATATTTTGTGTAAATCATAAATAAATTTATATTTAAATAGTTTCATTTTTTGTATACTTAATGAGTCGACCTTTTATTTACTGGAGAAAATGACTTTTTATTTACTGGAGTTGGATGAAATGAGGTTAAAGAATCTTTTTTAAAGGGCATACATATTGATATCTTTCAAAATCAAGATAATTCAATTGTCGCAGCAGTGTGACATCGAAACACTCTCTATTCTATCGTTTAGGAAAACAAAAAGCGATCGACAATTCGAAATTGTTTACAATGAATCGCTTTATTTGCAGTAATGCTTCTATAAATAATTGCAAAATCAATTGTGCAATTTAAGTAACTTGTTAATTTAAATGCGAATTTTGATAGATATTGTTATGACTGCAACATTCAAAATGCTAAAAGTGAAAGAAAAAAGAAAAGAAAATCGAGAAATAAATATTAAGCACTCAATGTTTTTCAATTAATTGATCAAAATCCGTCATAACAAAAGTGCAGATTTAACACTTCTAGCAGAAAACCGATTTTTAGCCAACATTTTCAATCGAAAACCTCAAATATTGATTCAATTTATGATCAAGACAACAGTCAAACAAACGAAGTTATAGCGACAAAATTAAATCAATCTATAGATTTCAAAATAGTTTTGAGCTTACAATTTCAAGTGCATTCCATAAAAACGGTAAGCTATAGTTGTCTTTATGCTAATACGTAAATCAGATAAGACTTGTCAAATTTATTAGACAATTTATATTTTGATGTTCTAGAATATGTTCGATAAGAAAGAATATTTAAAACAAAATATTTTCGGTGCAAAAGTTTCATTGTCACGGGCGGAGATCGAAAAATGGCTGCGCCGAGAAGAAATTGAAAATGGAAAAAAAGAACCACAAAATGACGAGAAAAAAATCCGTTGTTTGTAATTGAAATATGGAATCAAACGAATTGTGAATTTAATTTTTCAAATTTGAAATAAAGAGTCATTCAAAATTATATAAATCGTAGTTTGAAGATGCATTGATAAATTGATTTAATTTCCGCCTGAATCATATAGGTGCCGCTTGACGAGGCATTCTTTTTGACACCCATTTGAAAGATTCAAGACCTTCATACTTCAATTTAATCAAGTGTTTGTGAAAAGATTTCCATAATATTTCTTAAATACATTTTTAAAACATGATTACCAATCAATTTGTGCTTTATTGGCTCGGAAATATGGAACATCATAATATATTCTTTGTATTTATGTAGGTCTGTTTCAGAAAACATAGAATGGTTTATTTTCTCTTTTCTATCTAATTGTTCTATCTCCATGACTGTATAAGAGCCTGGAATGTCCCTGATAAAAACACAGTTTCTGATCGGAAGATAAAAAAGATTGCTTGAGGAATTAACTGGAGAAAAAAGTCTTGCGCCTGATTCAAATTACAGGTTTAAATCCGAAAAGTTTAAGTTTTTTACTATTTACAACCAACCGAAATGGATGGCAATAACCGATATCATCCCAATAACGGCCTCAATCGGTTTCAAACAGGTCAATTTCAGCTGAATTTTGCCATTTTCAGCCATCAAACCAAACAAATTGTCATACTAGATCTTGAAAATTGAAATAAAGTGTCATTAAAGATGATATAAATCGAAATTCAACAAAGCGTTGACCTTGTTTAATTTTATTTTATTTTAGCCTAAAATACATTGTAACGAATAATGATTCATCGTCAAAAAGGTGGAAATGTGCTTGTATACTTTGTACTGTGTTTAATTTTAACTAAACAAAATAAATTTAGCTCCCTTATCTAAAACAATATTGATTGTTGGTCATTTACTTTTAAAATACTCATTTCTTTTATTTCAATTGTCTGAAATACATTGTATTTTGTTATGATTCGGCGATCGAAAGTTGAAATATTGCTTACACACTTTGAATAAACATCGCTTACAATTTGATTACATTTGATTGAATAAACCTGAAATATTCGATAACTACTGTTACACTCGGTTTTATTTGAATTCATGCATCGAATCCATCTTCCAATTTATCTAGAGCACACCAAATCGTTTTAATCACATATTATCAGTGTCACCAAGTCATTCCTCTGGAAATCATCGAACATAACACACCTTTCGAATAATTTAATTTACCAGTCATCAAACCGATCCAAATTCGATATGAGCAACAGTAGTGATTCTTCAGGTAAAACCAAATATTTAATTTTGGAAATTCATTTGATTGACCGATGCTGGTATAAATATTGATTCACAGCAAATTCAAGCAAGCGATTTAAGCCGGACGATGGTGAAGATGCGAAAACACAAAGGATCATCGTTGAAAACTTTCAACAACACAGATATAGGCATGATAGATATGGTAAAATGTTACTGCTGGAGAAGCAGGCACGGGAAAATTTACGTGAAGCAGAAAAAATACGAGACGAATTAAGAAAACGCTATGAGTGTCATTATTATGATCGTGATGCTACCGAAGAAGCACCTTACGATGCAAAAAAGTCCAAATATTTGGCAGACAAATTTTTATACTGATTTGAAAATGAGAAAAAAATCGCCTTGATTTTTAAAATTCCATTTCAATAATAATTGTCATTTAAAGTCACAATAAATAGCATTTTGATCAGAGATAACATCAAGCAAGTGTTTTCATAAATCATTTTCAGCATATGCGAATTTAACTTAAGTTATCGATCGAGAGCATGATTTATTACCCAAACATACCTCCAGCTGATCGATTAAGCTCTTAAATTATCTTGTTCTGCGTGCAAAATATTTAATATTATTGTTACTGTTTTTGTTTTTGTTGTCCGTTTCGTTGTCGTGATTTATACGGATTTTGTTCATTCGATCACAAGTCATCAATCGAAACGGATAAGATAAGCAAAATTAAGTGAAACAATTTTTCGAACGATCATTCAACTTTAAGTTCAATGACGGAATAATGGAGAAGAGGGAAATTTCCGGTTGGTATTAAAAAATTGACATTTTGCTGTGTTTTCTTGTCATTTTATGCACATAATCCGTGTTTTTTTTAGAGACTGACAGAAAAGTTATAATCAATGCTGCGTATGAAGCAATGAAAAAAGAAGCGCGAACCGCCACCCAGAGAATTGCGATGCTTCAAATTGAACATGATTATTTGGCACGAGAAGTTAAAGCGCAAAGGGCCAATCAGAACAGTAAAAAGTAATCAACATGAAGAGCAAATTCGTTCTTTTTTGTCCACTTCTTTTCTAAACACTTGACTAATTTTACCAGATTCTTGTGAAATCATCGGAACTTATGTAAAACAATAAAATCAATGATGAATTGCACAATTTCGTGACATTTGCTTACAAATTAAATTGGGTTTTATTTAATGGAATTTTGTTTGCAATATTGCTGATCGAGTAGACGATCTGTAAGTACAAGTCGAAAAACAAAACATTCTAATTCACATTTGGCAATTAATTTGATTCATTTATTCCACCTACATCAATTTGCATTTATTCTGCTTGAGATTTAAATACAAAGGATTCACTTTGCCGCACTTCTTACTGGTTTTGAATTTAATTCGATTCTCTTTTTTTTCATTTCGAACGCGTTTATTGTGTGTTTGCGTGCAAAAAGTAAATTATAACCATCGAAACACTTTTTTTTAAGTTTGATTCATACAAAATGATAAACAAAGAAATGAGTTTACAGTCAAGAAAATGCGATTTCATTTTTAGACCCAATTGAATGAAACTCGTTTGTAAATCTAGTGTTGAAAACCTTGTGGTAACTAGTTCTACCTGCTCGTAAATTCTTTGTAATATTGAATATTTAACGCAGGTATGGATTATGCCCCCAAGAAGAAAAAAACCACTGACTTAATCGTCCAAAACATATAGTTCTCATTCGAGTTGAAAGTATATCGCTACGAAATCATTTATGCGGATAATGTAACTTACAATATGAAGAAGTATCAGTATTTCAAATCTCAAATGTATAGTCGGTCCTTCAACGAACAAAAATGGATATGAGACACGAAACAGAGGAAACCATTTTTGTTTCATGATTGATTTGACTTGGGATTTAATGACGGAAAAATTATAAGAATAGTAAGAAGCACTTTACTTTATAATTTATCAAAAAAGGTTGAAGAATGGATCACAATTTTTGGTTTTCATACGTGATTGAGCCTTTCTTGGGAATTTCAAGTCAAAGCAAATGCTGACGTGTTAAAAAAGGTCGTTCTATTTTAAATTTCTTTTAAACGAAAACAAAACGCTCCTCATTTTGAAGGTAGCCATTTGCAGTTGTGGAATTTTTTTTTTGTTCAAATATCATCATAAATCATGCAATTTTACCATTTTCAAAATGAAATAGAAAGTGATGTCTTAGACCTTCAATGCCGAAAAAAGAAAATATGTAATGAAGCAAAACGAGTGAATGCTGCTTTTACTAGTAAAAGTTTCACAATTTTATCATTTCAATCGATTGTTCAATTAAATTTCATAAAGCATGAGGTTAATTTTCTTGTTGGTTGCTTCGTTGAAACGAATCGAAAATTGCACAGTGATAGTCATCGGGAAAAAGTTTCATTTGCAATTATATGCGAAATTATTAAATATCAACGGCCATGCAGTGTCACTAGGCGCAGTAACAATAGCATTGTTATTTTTGTGATGCATGGGAAAACATAAAATCTTCGGTACGAATGGTCAATGTCAAAGTCAACCCACGCCACAATGAAATATGATAATTTGTTGCGATTGTAGACGAGCGATTTCATAAAAATTAAATGACCGAATCAAATTAATGCAACGCTTTGAATTTCTCATTGCAACATTTTAACAAAAACGGTTCATTGAAGAAGGAATATACTGCAAAAAGTGCCTTTTTTGATGAGAATAACGAAAAAATGGCATGGGCGTCGTCACCATGAGCTATAAAAGATCCATATCACAGCGCCTGACAATCCAAGTGTTTGGTTTTTAGCAGTGTCGTAGATTTTAGTTTCCATTGCTTTGTTTTGGATATTTTTGGATGAACAAAAAACATATATTTGTTTTCCTTCACTCGTCTTCTTGTTTTAATCTAAATGACTACGACATGCATATAAAAAATTACAAAAAAAAACCATCGACTGGGGAATAGCTTGATGTAGAAAAAAAAAACAAATTATTATTACTCCAAAGAGAAACGCATAGAGTGGAAATATTGTGAAAAAAGAAGAGAAACATATTTGCTGGCTGACGACATTGTCGCTGTTCGCTTGGATTATGTTGTTCTTTTGTTTTGGATTCTATAAATAACAAATAAGCATGGTTTCATTCCAAACACATACAAATAACTGGCAGTCATGATTTTGAGAAATCGCGCGCCGCATTCAACGCTAACTATATATGCAAAAGTGCATTTAAAAAAAGTTCGCTTTGGATGAAGCACAAACGCGTCAAATTATTATTATGAGAAATAATTAAAATTGCCCTCTTTGTGGCATGCATCAAATGACAACATGAAAACAGTAACGGGCTCTGGCAACCAACAAAATGTCAACTCTCGGATGAATGAATCTTCGTCTCATTACAAATATTTCTTTTTTTTCGTTGAAAATATCACGAATTATGTGTTGAGCACATACACGAATGGATTTGAGGAAACATAGTCGTTATTCGAAATGTTGCTTTGTATTTCTTGTTGATGTTTGAATTTTGTTTCGTAAATACATCTAAAAGCCTGTGTTGGCACCATTTCTTTGGTCATACAAAAACACACACACACACACACACACACACACACACA